TTAATTCTTCGAAACGTTCCAATACGACCAACATATCAAGCATAGCGAGTGGGTTGTGCGAGGAGAACGAGATATCTGCTGGGGACATTGAATATATGACAGCACCTAGATAGTCATGTCTTTCATCCATAGAACCATAATCCCTGCTCACGTCGTCGCTAGTTTGAACTGGTTTCACAGCTGGTAACGTCAGAGAACAGTCAACTTGGAAGAAGGTAAATAAGTAACATGTGACCAATTTCGAGTGACTGATGCCAAGTGACCATCATATGTGACTTCCCTCGGTTGAATCTTACTTCGTAGCCAGCACCTTCACTGACGTCGCCATTGCCTTCACTGACTTCTTGAAGACATACTTCTTGACGAAGTGGAGGTCGAGCGGACATGGCTGAACGCCAAGATGTTTCTGCTTCCGCCAAAATAAAATCGATTACGGAGGTGAGGAAAAAAGCACCGTCATCAAGCGCCGAAAGTTTGTAAGGGCTGACAACTGACAAACCGACGCAGAAAAAGTCCAATGGGACTTCTTCGAAAGTCGAACAGCAAGTCATTCTCTTGGTTTCGACGAACAACTAACCGTCTCCAAGTATTGTTCTCGAAGATTCCGAAGATGAAGACCAAATCTTAGAGTACGGCAATGAAAGCGACCCGACCATGTAAGTTTTTCTGTCATGCTGTGATTGAGATTAATTTGTTTAGTGTTGCCATTAGAGAAAGCTCGACAATCGAAGATCAAGAGGAAGAACTGCAAGAGACTGCAGAGCAGCGAACAGAAGAGCAGGAAATCGAAATGCAAGAAACAGAAACAGAAGAGAGGTAAGCAACTGGCATCGCTTTAGTTCAAATCTCACAAATTTCCAGACCACCCGAATTTGGTGCGACATACGGGACGTTGGACAGAGAAGACCGCGCTATATCAAGATTACTGCGGAAGCATGACCGAACTTATGAAGGAATTGGCATTTATCTCGGCACGTCGCACGCAAACATCAGGCGCATCGAAAAAAATCAGGGCTCTGTTCCGGACACAGTATCGTTGGACGAAAGGGTAGTCAACAAGGAAGACTTGAAGAGATATCTCGCCGACACAAAAGATTATGTGGTCACGAAGCCTTCTAAGAACAGAGCGATGAAAGTACGTCAATACCGAAAACATCTTTTCATATCTCATGCTTGCAGCCTGAACCTGGCGAAACACGGCCAAAGTCTTTCCCTCAGGGAAAAAAACGCGAACGCAAGCACTCACTAGTTCCTCCAATTGCACTCAGCACCGGCCAACACAAAAAGCCTCGCATGTCGTCCGCATTGGGTGAAAAGTACACCACAACTCCCGTTGCAAAAGCCAACATCTCCGAGAGTCTGGCTGGTCTCAACCATAAAGCCAGCGTATTGCACAAGCCTCTGTCCATGCCTCCTTCGGTGCCCAGTCTAAGTAAAAGCGGCGGGCCAGGGCCTAGTAACTTCAAGCCACGACCTCTTCTCAAACCGTTCAACAAATCTTTCGCCTTTAACCGTGATGACAGTCCACGCCCAAACATACTTCCGATGGAGAAGTCTCCAGTTACAAACGACAGCCCCTACGCAAGAAGCCCATGACCACCATGCGCGTTCTTCTTTCCAATCCAAGGTCGACAACTTCGCACCGGGACAACATACTCTTGCCACATTGCTCAGCGAAATGGATTCCACTTTCCTCGATTTTTTGCCCTTATTTCACTCAGCCGGCATTTACAAAGTGTCCGACTTCTACGACTTTGGCACTTCCGATACTATGCATGCAGCGCTTGAAGGCCTGCTTTTGCGAAAACAAACATCTGCGTACGCCATACACTGGCCTATATCTCAGTCGGCCGAAATGCAGCTTGTTGGCCGTGAATTTGAATATTTTCTTCAAGAAATTTCCAACGGTGCAACATTGGTTGTGCGAAACTTGACTGCGAGATTACTTCAAATGCTTAGTGGTGTATTGGCTGAATCGGTTGTTTGTAGTTGCTTGTTTTGATGACCTTGTGTAGCGAAATTTGTAGTCCATGTATTGTTCAGCGAAAATCAAACTGTGCTTGACTTGCTTTCACTTGCCTTGCTGGCTGTTACTGCGTGACATGACTGAAAATCTGATCATGTGGTCAATGAATCACTTCAACTTGAAAACCATAGCCAATCTCCCGGGGACGACTCAGGTATAACCAAGTTCAAGAAACCACATGCTTAATTTCATGCTAGATTCTGGCACAAAAAACTGTAGACTGTCAGAGTTCTTTTGACGACGTAAAACAGTTATACGCGACTCAGCCTGGACAAGCTGGCTGGCGTCGAATCCTTCCCCTGACGACTTTTCTGCTCAACCACGATCGATTTCTTCTTGCTCACAAGACTTCCAACGAAGGTACAGCTTGCAAAACTGCGTCGTGGGCAATCGTGATTACACTCGCATTCCTGGATGTCGCCCAAGACCCCGAGGAGTGGATCCTCCCAGTATGGGGAAATCTCTGTCGATGGCTGGAGTTCTTCGTGAACGAGGATATTGGAATCGTTATTAACGAAAACTACGAACCAAGTCCTATCATTTGTTTGGCAGCCGCGCGACATTTTACTACTCTGAAGAGTCTTCATCCAACTTTACTCCGCACCACTGGTTTCTGTTCCGTCCTACTCACAGGGTGGAAAAGTTGTTGCGACCCAGTCACTAGAAGTCTGATTAGCAGCCAACGTGCCATACATTCCGTCTACGACATGCTGGAATCTTGGACGTCTGTCGCGGACGCCACCTGCAACAATTGGTTGAATGCATTCGCAGGAAAATCGAAAAACATCGGAACTCTGGCCACTTGGTCTATGCAAGTTGCAATTCCAAGCAAACCGGATATCTCTTCACGCTTTCGAATTTTATCCGTAGCTCGTTTTTGGAGTGCGATCGAAGCAGCAGCTGCGTCAGCTGAGCTCACGGTTTCTCTGCTTAAATGGGGTTTTCTAGTGGAACTCGTGAACGCGCTGCGGAATGTTTCCCGATTACCCTCGGCAAAGTCAACCCATCTCGTGGGAGAAGAATTGGTTGCGCTGATGACGCGAATTGTTTTGAAGAGCGGGCAATTGACTTGGACTGCAACCGTGCAACAAGGGGTAATGGAGCAAGCGACGTATTGGCTTTATCACGCGGGGCGTAACCGCCAGAACTTGTACGAGGTGATAGAAATATTGCTCAACGGACACATAGATCGCTGGCTTTGGGAACCTAAACGGGTGGAGCACATTTCACGCCAGTTGTGCTCTATTCGTGAGGCCTCCGGATTAGAGGCTTTCAAACAGAAGCCGTTGGGTCTGGGATGCTGGAATTACTTGTGGGAAGTTATGGAAGGAAGATGTTCGAGCCTGTCGGGAGCGGAGCCCAGAGATGTGAAGCGGATGTGCAACTGGGTAAGATAACAATGCTCTGTATAACCCACTGACGTATTCGAAAAGTGTGGTCGCTCAGGTTTTGGAAAACAGTTGAAAAGATGCGGAATGTGCAAATCGACATACTTCTGCAACAAAGCCTGTCAAAAGCTTTCATGGCCGTGGCATAAACTAGAGTGCGTGGCGAGGTATGAAAATCGAAAAAGTTGGTTAAACCTTTCATTTTGGCGTCGCTCTATTTTAAACCTGTTCAGGAGCAACGAATTGCGGTTTACATGCACGGGCTCGTGCATTTATGCGCCGGGTACTGGACAACCATGTAGCCGCATCCATTGCCGAAGTTCGAGAAGAAGCCGCAGTTGCTTTACAGCAACAACCAGTTGGCGACGTTGTGCTATTATTCGACTACCGCACTGTGGTACCTCGACTCAAGATCATCGTCGCAGCAGCAGAAGAAACACTCTTAGGTTTTACTTCTCCGTTGATTAACAATCCCACAGACCATGATTCCAAGGCCAACTTGGGCGTCGATGTTGTGATTGTTCCTACAAAATATGGAGCCTTTTCTTGGGTGGTTTTCCGGCACTGCGCAACAAAAATGGATCATTCATGGTGGATGGACTTGAATCAGGCCAAATGGGCGGAGGTATTCCATTGAATAGACCGGAGTAAAACCTTTCCGCTGCGTAAGCCTAGTATAGCTTTTCGAATGAGACGTGCCACAATGAGTCATAAATATGACGATTTACCCGGAAGACTCCGGTTATGACACGTGATCCAAACTAGAACTTTCCCTCATCACCGTATATGAATGGAGTCCACCAAACCAACTATCGTTTTTGGCCCGGCAGCTCTCGCGGACTCCGATGGATTTGAATACCACAGGTTTTTTCTCCGCCTTTCTACAAGTATGGTCGTTAACCCAACTTTCAGAAACCATGTTACGGTCTTTCACTGTACCCCAAATCGTCCAACTGCTCGAAGACATCCAACCAGCCCCAAGAAACATTCGACTGAAGCGTCCTGCCCTTTTTAAACTACGCTTCCCAACTCCCAGCAGACAAAGCCATTCAGCTGCGAAATATCTGCAACTCAACCAGAGGGACTAAGCGCTTTCGTAAAGACGAGCCTCCCCAACCCGGCTTAATCAAACGCAGAAAAGTTACTACAGTGAATTCTGGGGAGTTTTCCAACGCCGTTCATCAAGGAACGATGCAAGAACTCATCGAAGGACCTTTCTTGCGAAAAGTTGATGACAAGATCATCCAAGACTGCATTTCACGGTCAGCCCAGTCCACCAATTGACAAAAGAAGCTCATACCAGGGAAAGAGCGATAGACCGGACTAACAACCTCGCGCTCAAGAAAGGTGTATGTCTAGTTTGTGCCCGGACATTGTTTTTGAAAGAACTTGTCATTTGCGAGCCCGACGCTATCCCCAACCCTCGTTGTTTAGCGCCAACCCATCCTCATCCAAGGCACCAGCTGTATAAGGGTATGCTGTTGCACAACGTCGCCCTTCACTCTCCTTCACCTCATTATCTGTGCCTCCAATGTCGTGCAAAATTGACCATCTGCATCCGACCACCTCTCTCGCTAGCGAACAATATGTGGGTCGGCGATGTCCCCTTCGATCTAGCGGTGTTGACGCTGCCCGAGCGGCTACTCATCGGCATCTACTTCCCGGCAGCCTACGTCGTCAAGCTCTTTCCTAAGAAGCACGGTGGTGACTCTTGGGATCAGGACGGTATGAACAAGGGGATGAGAGGAAACGTCTCAACATATCGGCTTCCTCCTGATGCCGTTGCCGACATGGTTGAAGGCAATCTTATGCCACGACCTGTTGCACTCCTGCCTTCTGTTCTCTCGGTCACCTTCGTTGGTGCTCGGAACGTCCCTTTATTCATTCTCCCCGATATTTTCGAGGTCAATCGCGTACGAGTACATCGCGCTCTACTATGGCTCAAGCACAACAACAAGCTGTACTTTGACATCGAAATTTCTCAAGAACGCCTGGAACAACTCCCGCAGCATGGCATACCTGACGAGCTGACCACTACTGCGCGATATTCAGAAGACGAATTGCTTCCTTTCCGTGAACACGCGGGCTACGTCCCTTCCGACGATACTGAAGACACTGAAATAAACGAAGCAGAAGAACGAGACTTCGAACGGCATAAGGGCAAGTGTGTAACAATACATCACTCTTTCTCCTGATGTTTTTTGTTTAGATTTATTGCCCACAAACCCCTTAACTAACGAAGAGAACGACGATGCAGAACATTATGGTCAGCACGTCACGTGAAAGTTACGTCATCTAACTCGGGTCATAGGTCCAGCGGTTATTCCTCTTCAACCGCATGGAGCTGTGGATGTAGCTGGGGATTCATTGGATGACCAGCGGTTGTTTGAAGCCGCTGCGCGAAACCTCGTACCCGAACCTCAGCGGAAATATGCCGTCAAGCATGGGAGTGAGTTTGTCAACGAATACCCTAGAAAAGAGAAAGGCAAGAGAACGGATGGTGGTGCATCGAATCCCAATCATCTGTTGGGAGCCTTTCCGTGCTTGTTCCCTTATGGTTTCGGCGGCCTAGAGGTCGATCGGGAACAAGCAGTGTCGTACGAAAGTCATATTCGTTGGGCGCTTCAATACGAGGACGGCCGCTTTCGCAAAGACTTCTACTTCATGTTCCAAGCAATGGGAGTTTTAGTCAAACGACAAATGTGTCGTTCCGCTTGCTTGCAGCTCGACTTCAACACATACGCCCAAAATCAAGCTGCATTCCAAAGATTGACCGCCAAGGATTTCCTCAAGGCTAGTGAAGAGGAGAAACGAAAACAGCCTATCAGCAACGTCACGATTAAGGCCTTTCGCAAACAGATAACTGCTGTACGGGCGCGTGTTATGGGAACAGACGAAAACCGCATAGCCATACGCGCTCAAGTGTGGGGCATGACCTTACGATTCAACCCTCCTACTATTTGGATAACAATTAATCCATCCGATACCGGTGACCCGATTGCACAAGTTCTTGCGGGTGTTGAGATCGACTTGGACAACTTCATTTCCACTGCTGGGCCGATGAGCGAGCAACGCGCCCAACATATAGCGGCAGATCCCTTTGCTTCCGCTGAGTACTTTCATCTGCTGATACGCGTGATACTGGAAGAACTTTTTGGAATTACAGTTAACGCTAGAGGTTCCGTCTCCCGACGTTGCGGAATCTTGGGGGTTGTAAATGGCTACATTGGGACAGTGGAAGCTCAAGCACGTGGAGCATTGCATCTTCATCTGCTACTGTGGCTTCGTGGAGCACCTGATGCGGGCACCATGAAAGTAGCCTTGCTGTCGAAAGAATTCAGGCAAAAGATGCGCGAGTTTATCGATAGAAATATTCGTGCGCATATAGAGGGTACAACGGCCGAATCGTTGATGAAGCTGCGAAAAGCCCAAAACATCGCTTACTGTCGACCAGAGGATCCACGAAAACCAGATTACGAGTCCCGAGCTGCCCAAGCAGAAAGTCGAATCGCGCGAGCAACTCAAACACACAAGTGTGAGACGTATACTTGTCTGAAAGTTAAACAAGGGCGACTAGTCTGTAAACGACGAGCTCCTTGGCGGCTGTCTTACGAAAGCTGGACCACAGAGACAGGAGACTGGGGACCAAAAAGGCTTTACCCATACATCAATGCGTGGAATCCTCCCTTATTACAATTCCTTCGAGCTAACCATGATATCAAACTCGTCACCAACGGCGCCGAAACGAAAGACATTACATTTTATATCACCCTCTACATCGCAAAACGCCAAATCCAGACAGCGAATTTCTCCGCCTTGTTAGCGTCAGCTATCAAATTTCAACAGAAAATCACCGATAAGCAACAACGAGATCTTGACAAGAACAAGCGACTTCTCCAAGGATGTGCTAACGTACTTAGTCGACAACACGAATTCAGTGGGCCCGAAGTAATCAGCTATCTAATGGGATGGGGCGACAGATACATTTCACACAACTTTGTCCGAATATACTGGGATCGCATCACAACCCAATTGCGTCGGGCTTTTCCATTTATCACGGCTGCTTCGTGAGTCGTAACGCCTGAGACTAACCCAAGGTTAACACTCAATAGCTCGTCAACGGGACTCCTCTCCACAATGATGGAGGATTTCGGAGAAAGTTTCACGGTATTTCGTTTGCTCACTTCCCAATCATGGACAAACCTCCCGCAGGAAACTCCCTTCTCTGTGACTCGTGATTCAGAAGGAAAGCTCAAACTCCGCGACCAACTCAAAGAGTATCAAGACCGCGGCATCGAACTGGAATCCATGAATTTTTACGACTACTTTGCAAAGACCTACGACGGTAAAGTAATAAAGGGTCAGACGGCAACAAACAAGAGCTTGGAGAACGAAGAGGGGTCAGATGATGAGCAAGGAACAACCAGGAGGAACGATGGTATGGATATTGATTACCAGCTGGACGAGCACGAACGCACCCTGTCTGCTACCAGTGGAAATTTAATGGTTACAGACATAGCAAAAACGACTGCAAAACGACCCAAAAAATCAGTAGGAAGACCGAGCAGCACTCGCATTGCATACCAAACGGCTTCTCGCGGAACTAATCGATGCAGAGTAATTCGTGCAGCAGGACAGGAAATGAACTTGCATTTCATTGGAAGATGGTTCCCTCGCGCTGACGAAAACGGCGAAGGGGAATATTATAGCGCGCAGATGCTACTACTGCTGAAACCCTGGCGACTTCTTCAAGATCTACCATCGAATTTTCCCACATTTTCGGAAGCCTTTCGAAATTTCAAAGAAACTATGTCGGACAACCAATCCCGAATTGTTGAAAATGTGCAATACTTCTACGAATGTTCAGACAAAGCTTCTCAACGTCGTGATGAAGAAACCATGGAAAGACCCCAGGATGTTGCCCACCATGTGCAATTGAGTGACGATCCTTTGTCGTCTTCCGAAAGAATCGACAACCCGAAAACCACTGAAATGGCTCATGAACCCACAGAAGCTGAAATACAAGAGGCCCAACGGAACCGCGGGGCAATGCGGGAACAAATATACGGCCAGCAAGCTGTAAACATCGCTCTACAAAGCGGCATTTTCTCTTCAGATTACCCTAACCCAGACTTTTGACCGCCGATAAAACAAGCGACATTGGAAGATATGGTCACCTACCGCGACTGGGGCGAGAGGATATCGGTTTATACGCGCAATCCTGACTTTGTGGACACCGCACCCATAAATGTTGGACAGCAAATGTCGGGGAGCATCGATTTGTTCAGCGAAAATGTGGGAAGCGCAGGACAAAGCCGCTGGCTTGAACACCACGAGGAACCAACTATAATAGATATCACTCCCAACCAACGCACAAGATCTGAAGTTACTTTAAACACCGAACAAACCCGTGCTCACCACATAATTATCGACCACCTCAATCAAACGCTGACAGGGAACAATCCTGCACAACTTCTGATGATAATTCGAGGCGAAGGGGGCACTGGCAAGACCGTGGTCCTCAAAGCGATTGCACAATCTTTCGAGGACGCGGGACAGCGCCACCTTTTAGCGCTAACTTGCACGACTGGCGTCGGTGCTTCGCTTTTTGGTGGACAAACTCTACACAACTGGGCTGGAATATCAATCAAGGGCACAAAAGTTCGATCTACTGGAGCAACTCAATTGAAACGGCAACGAAACATCGGGCCCGTTAGGTATCTGATAATAGACGAGTTTTCCATGCTGACGAAACGGACTTTGTTACTGCTCTCGCAAGTCATGGGTGTTGTGAAACAAGACTTGCACGAGGCCCAGGAGACAGATGCCTTCGGGCTAGTGAATATCATACTTGTAGGCGATTTACATCAGTTTCCACCAGTGGGCTCCCTCCAACAAGCTTTGTTTTGGCACACTGGCGACGTCTGCCTCGATGGGCTCATGCTCTATCATCAGTTCAATACGGTGGTAACTCTGACGGAGCAGCGTCGAGTTACCGACCCAACATGGGTTGCATTGTTGAAGAGGTTACGAGTTGGTGAATGTACCGAGGAAGATATTGCTCTACTAAAAGGCTTAATCGTCGACGACGCCTTATGTGAGCCAGTCGACTGGGACGCCCCGCCGTGGGATAAAGCTTTCCTTGTGACACCGCGACACAGCGTTCGAGAACTCTGGAACAACGAATCCCTCAAAAAGCACACTTCCAGCACAGGCCAGCGCATATACTGTTGCGAAAGCGAAGATCGCGTCAGTAAAACCGGTACAACGCTGGACCAATGGCAAAGATACGTTTTGGCTGGAACAACGAGTAAAAACGCAAGTCGTTTGGTCCACCAAGTGAAACTCTCAATCGGAATGGAAGCGATGGTGTTGTGGAACATCTCGACGGAGGCAGAGCTAGCAAATGGTACACGGGGCATCGTTGTTGACATCATAATGGACACGCGAGAAACGCTACCGCTCCAAGAGCACCAGATCACTGGCGAGACAATTCTTCACTATCCACCCGCAGTCGTCCTCTTCAAACCTTTCCACAGTAACTTTCCATCGTTCGAAGGATTAGAAAAGGGAGTTATACCCATCGTTCCCTCGATCGCAAGATTCGAAATAAAAACCCCAAAGGGAACCACTACAATAGCTAGAAGGCAATACGCTATAACGCCTGGCTACGCTTTCACGGACTACAAATCTCAAGGACAAACAATCGACTATGTGATTGTGGATCTGGGACCACCTCCTTCGGGGAGATTAACTGCGTTCAATGCATACGTCGCTCTATCGAGAAGCCATGGACGGGACAACATTCGGATCTTGCGAGGCTTCGACGCCAAACTGTTTACTGTACATCCATCTCCTCAGTTGCGGGTAGAAGACGAGAGGTTAGAGGGATTGACCACAGAAACCCAATGATTACATCATTACATCGTAGACTGTAGTCCTGTAAGGGTATCACATGATCACTGCTATAAAAAGGATCGCCTCTTGCTATAAACCACCACCACTGCTTTCTTGCTGGCGAAAGCATCTATGTTGCAAACACCCAACTCTCCACATATGACATTTTATGTCTCAGCTCTGCGTTTGGAAAACAACGACACAGATTTGGCGTCGTTGCGCTTTTCGGGACAAGCCTATTTGAACACCTCCCAAAATAAGCGCAGAAGACTGCATCCGTAAGTAATCTACTCAGAAAAGAGTGCACTGAAGAAATGGACTACTCAGAGCAGCGAGCACCTCACGCTCAGATGCAATAACCAGAGTACACCCTAAAGAGTGCGGAATCCCAACGCCCACAAGCTGCACTTGGCGTAAACTGCTGTATAATGTAGGAGAACTGCGCGCGGGTCAATGGATCTTGACCTATAACGAGCTGTATTTAATAGCGAAGACTAGCCGGGGTTTCTTATGTCCATTCAAGTGCTCTGCATGGACAGACATCAAGGACTGGTCTTCACACAGCGAAGAAGGACCTCCGCCAGACGAACTAGAGGACTGGGAAACCTGCGACAACCACCTTCTCCTCCTCAATATGTTTATTGCACCATCTGTCGCACCGTTATGGCCCGGGGACCGAGTAGCCTATCACATACCCGCAACTGGAGAATTCAAGACCGGATACCTTTGCGACAAGCCAGATAAAAACACCTGTCGTGTGCGAATAGCTATAAACGGGCTACCAATTCCCCAAGATGCTGGCAACCTCGTCCAAACAATAATCGAACCTCCAGAAGCAAGAGACACCGCTCTGGTGTCTTTGAATTTACTTCATCGTCACATTTTTGCGAGCGAACGGAACTTACGAGGGGAGAAATTGTGGAATTCGAAGAACGAAAGAGAGGTACCGTCCTGAATATTATCAAGACGCAAGAAACTTCCTCTGTTGAAGTACAAGCAGCTGAAAATTTGGAAGTGCATACGACGAGTTATCCAGCA